GAGACCTCATTTCTATAATAAATCAAAAAATCAGCCGGGCGTGGTAGCGCATGCCTGTAATTCCGGCTACTTGGAAGGCTGAGGCGGAGGGATCGCCAGAGCCCAGCGGGTCGAGGCTGTGGTGGCCGGGAGCAGCCGCTGCACTCCAGTCTGGGCGACCGAGTGAGACTCCAACTCAAAAAATAAATAAATAAATAAATTCTGGGTTTTCTTGGGTCCCTCTCATATATTGTAGAGCTGTATCTCTTTCTTTAATTCTGTCAGTTTTTGCTTTCTATGTCTTGAGGCTCTGTTGCTGGGTGTGTATTTATTTGTTTTGCTTTGTTTTTTTGTTTTGTTTTTGAGACAGGTCTCACTCCATTGTCTGTTGTTCATTGGCTAGAGTGCAGTGAAATGATCCCAACTAACTGCATCCTTGGCTTAGACTCGAACAATTCTCCCATCTCGGCTTCCCAAATAGCTGGGGGTTACAGGTGTGAGCCGTCATGTCCAGCCTATACTTGTAATTTTTTTTAAGCCCCTGTCTCATGCTGTTGCCCAGACTGGAGTGCAGTGGCCTGATTACAGCTCACCACAGCGTCCACCTCTTGGGCTCAGGCAATCCTCCCATCTTAGCTTTCAGTAGCTGGAATTGCAGGTGCATGTTTTTGTTTCGTAGAGATGAAGTCTCACCATGTTGCCAAGGCTGGTCTTAAAACTCCTGGGCTCAAGCATGTCTCTTGCCTCAGCCTCCCAAAGTGCTAGAATTAGACGCAAAGCACGGGTTATATTTCTTGTCAGGGGTTGATCCTTTTATCAATATATAGTGTCCTTTTTTGCCTCTTGTAACAACTTCTGTCTTTAAGTCTGTTGCCTGATAGTTATATAGCCACCTCAGCCTCTTGGTTATCATTTGCATGGGATGTCTTTTTTCCATCCTTTCACTTGCAAACCTAATTGCATCTTTGGATCTAAAGTAAGTGTTTTGTAGATAACAGAGTTAGATAATGTTACTTCTGATCCATTTGCACACATAGAAATTACTGATAAGGAAGGGGTTTTGCTGTTTTGCTGTTTGTTTTCTGTATGCCTTTTACCTTTTGTTCCCTCTGAGTTCTTCTATTACTGCCTTCTTTTGTGATTTATTTTTTCTGATGTACTGTTTTCTTTTTCTTTTTTGATTGTTTGAAGTTCTTCCTTAGTGGTTATTCTGGGGATTACAGTCAACATCTTAAGTTTTTAAAGTCAAGTTTGATTAATACCAACTTAGTTTCAGTATTATACATAATTCCTCTGCAGCTCCCCATCTTTTTTATATATTACATCTTTAAACATTGTGTGCATGTATAACCTGGATTTGAAATTTTTGTTTTATACGTTTGTATTTTAAATCATATAGAATAAGAAATGCAGTACTACTGGCTTTTATATTCACTTATGTAACTACTTTTACTATTCTTTATTTCTTCATATGATGTCAAATTATTCTCTCAGATTACTCTCTAGTAGTCTTTGCTTAGACTTTTAATTTTTGTTTATCTGGGAATGTCTAAAATTCTTTGTTTTCAAAGGACAGTTTTACTGATTCTAGAATTCTTGGTTTGCTTTTTTTTAATTTCAGCATCAGATTCTGGGGTTTATTATTGCTTCTTCTTGTTAGCGGTGACTATTTGCTTGTTTAGTGATTTTTCTAAACTTTTTGTAAGGTGTATATTCTTAGTCATGTGTGGCCACTGAAACCTGTGTTTCGTCTGCTTAATAGTCAGTTAATGTTTTGACAGAGTTTCCTTAAACATCTGAAGCCAAAAGAAAAAGAAAAAATACTTTTCCCCATCTTTACAGATTGGCTTTATATTGGGACATTCTTTTAGTGCTTAGCTGAACCATTACAATTCTGCCTTCACTTACTGTTTACTTAGAGCCTGAAGATGAGCCAGGGGTGAAGGATTAGGGTCTTCTTGGGCCTTTTCTGAGCATGCATTCAGTCCTGGCTGTGTGCGTGGCCCACTTTAAATGACCTGATTACCCCACGTATGTCCTTTCTCATCCCTCTCTGTCCAGGCTTTTCCATCTGTCTGTTCCTTGTCCCAGTTGTTGTCCCTTGCCCCAGGCTGCTGTATCAGTTAAGTGGTTTTGGCAAAAGTCATCCAGGAAGACTCCCTAGCCCTGAGAATGCTCCAAGTCAGGCAAAGCCAAGGCAAGCCATTGCTCAAGTCCTACCAGGAATTGCCAGACAACTTGAAACCTGCCATCACAATTTCTTTTTTTTTTTGAGCTGGAGTCTCACTCTGTTGCCCAGGCTAGAGTGCAGTGACGCGCTCACAGCCACCGCAGCCTTGACCTGCTGAGTTCAGGCGATCCTTCCGCCTCAGCCTTCCAAGCAGCTGGAACTACAGACATGTGCCACCTTGCCCAGCTAATTTTTTATTTATTGTAGAGATGAGGTTTTGCCAAGTTTCCCGGGCTGCTCTCGAACCCATGAGTACCTCGGCCTCCCAAAGTGCTGGGATTATAGGCGTGAGCCACTGCGCCCACCATTCTTAAGAGTAAATTGCACACTCCCTCTGGGATCAGGGAGTGCAGATTGCTGTCACAGCCACTGCTGACTTGTGCCATGCGGAAGGCAGGCAGGCAGGCAACGTAAGCTTCCCCAGCACTCTTTTTACTACATAGCAGCAGCTTCTTTCTTCGGCAAGCCTTGCCATAGATTTTGGAAGTTTCATACTAGATTTCAGAATTCTGCAGAGTTTATTCTGATGGTATTTGCCAGCTCATTAGTTGCTTTTTGAAGGATCAGATCCCTGGAGTTCCCAACTCTGCCATTTTGGGTGGTGTCATCCCTGATGTAAAGATTTTTCAGAATGATGGCACCATTAGCCAGTAATCTAAGGAAGAAAATTGGGAGGAGAGAAGTTGATTTGTGGGTATAGGAGGGGTTATTTTTACTTGGACTTGGGTGTTGGGTTTGAGTGGCTGATGGCACAATCTGTGGGTGTCTAGCGACGACTGGAATTATGCTTGAATTCCAGAAAACTCTTGGAGCTGCAAAGAGATCCGGGAGACTTCTAAACAGAAGTAGCAGAAAATGAAAGCATATGATTTTCTTGAAAGAGAGTTAGAGGGTCAAGTATGGCATCCTGGGAAACACTGTCAGTAAGGCATGGTTCAGTGTTCTTTCAACAAATGTTCACTTTGTTCTTCCTACTGATGTAGGTTCTGCTAAGCACTGGAGTTGCAAGAGATTGAGATTTGGTTTTCTACCTTGAGGAAGTTCACTCTTACATCGAGGAAGATGACAGACAAGTACATAAGTACATTGCAGTGTTAAAATAAGATTCAGAAGAGCCCAGACAGAGGCACAAGAATATGTAAACATGTCAGGAGGGAAAACAGGAGACTCAGGGAAGTCAGAGAAGCAGAAAACATAATGGAGACCTTGGCTGCTGCATAGGGAGTCTGAGACACCTGGGGGGACTCTAGCATGTCCTGACGTGGCAGTAAGCGGATGACACAGTTTTCATCTGCTAAAAAGAATGGTTTCAGCCGGGCTCAGTGGCTTAGCCTGTAATCGCGCGCCTTTGGGAGGCTGAGGTGAGTGGATTGCCTGAGCCCGCGGGTTCGAGACCTGCCTGGGCAGGCGAGACCTCATCTCTACAATAAATCAAAAAAATTAGCCGGGCATGGTGGCGCGCACCTGTAGTTCCAGCTACTTGGAAGGCTGAGGCGGAAGGATTGCCGGAGCCCAGCAGGTTGATGCTGCAGTGACCGGGAGCGGCCACTGCACTCCAGTCTGGGCGACAGAGTGAGACTCCAACTCAAAAAAAAAAAAAAAAGAAAAGAATGGTTTCGAATGGTTGTGGTGGAATGGTTGGAGATGGAGGATCAGCTCCTACAGAGGAGGATGAGTGGAGAAAAAGTTGGGAGAGGGGAAAGACAACTTTTTGAAGAACAGCATCATGTAAAAGGAGCAGCGGAGACAAAGTAACTTTATTTTGGAGTAGAATATAGGTAGGTGTGTTTTCAGATCGTTGAAGGGACTGAGACAAGGATGGTGATGAGTCTGGAAAGAGGGAAGATGCTCTGAAGAACCCAGAAGGATGAGGGTTTGGAGACCTGGGCGAAGCAAGAGAGTGAGGGTGCTAAGAGTTTTGGGATAATGAGAAGGAATTCGAAAAGTTTTACCCAGGAAACCCTCAGTTTTCTAGGTAAAACAGAGCATAAAATCACACGCTAAAAAATGAGCAACAGTAAGAATGCCTGAATGAAGCTGACGTAGCCTGCATTTGTGTTGCTAGAACCGTTTGTTGAGTTTCTCATTTCTTTCAGTGACTATTAAGCATTTACTGTGTATTAAGCACTGTACAAGGTCCTTGAGATCATATTCATGAGCAAGATAGCAAAAATCTCTGCCCTTGAGGTTACATGAGAATGGGGTGGAGGAAACAAACAAATAAATAATATATTATTTTAAAATAAACATTTGAGGTAAATAGAATTTCCTGGGTCTGGGAACAAAGAAAGCAAATGGAAGATTACCCAGGTATAACTACACTTCTGTGTTGCATATCAAGTTCTAGTTAACTTACTGTTTTATTTCGTACAGGTAATTGTAGAATCTAGATTAATAAACTAAGACAAGATGTAGATGGGTTTGGTGGAGCCTTTGTGTACTTAGGTTGTAGCTATGAGGAAAATAATTTATATTTACCTCTAAGAGAATTTCATTAACTTAGGGCAACTTTTAAATTACGTTATATAGTTACTTGAGGGCTTTTGTCCAGAGAAAAGATAAGAAGGTGAACTGACATGTAATAACTGCAGTTAAATCTGTTTAGTTATGGAAAGAAAATGTACATCGTGTTTTCAAAAAGATAATTTTACCACGAGGACATTTGTTATCTAAATTTAAAGACTAAAAAAACCTTGTGGCGTTGATTTTTTTTTTTAAATAATGGCTAAGTTGGGCTTTTGGGTAGTCATTCTTTCATATTCTCTTCTCATTACCCCTTTTATTTAAACAGGCATTGGAAAAGTGAAGAGGAAACCTAGTGTGCCAGATTCTGCATCGCCTGCCGATGACAGTTTTGCTGACCCAGGGGAGCGTCTCTATGACCTCAACATGCCTGCTTATGTGAAGTTTAACTACATGGCTGAGCGAGAGGATGAATTATCATTAATAAAAGGGACAAAGGTGATCGTCATGGAAAAATGCAGTGACGGGTGGTGGCGGGGTAGCTACAATGGACAAGTTGGGTGGTTTCCTTCAAACTATGTAACTGAAGAAGGTGACAGTCCCTTGGGTGACCATGTGGGCTCTCTGTCAGAGAAATTAGCAGCAGTTGTCAATAACCTAAACACTGGGCAGGTGCTGCATGTGGTACAGGCTCTTTACCCATTCAGCTCGTCCAATGATGAAGAACTTAATTTTGAGAAAGGAGATGTAATGGATGTTATCGAGAAGCCGGAAAACGACCCAGAGTGGTGGAAGTGCAGGAAGATCAACGGAATGGTCGGTCTGGTGCCAAAAAACTATGTCACCATCATGCAGAATAATCCGTTAACCTCAGGTTTGGAGCCATCGCCTCCACAGTGTGATTACATTAGGCCTTCACTCACTGGGAAATTTGCTGGCAATCCTTGGTATTATGGCAAAGTCACCAGGCATCAAGCAGAAATGGCGCTAAATGAAAGAGGGCATGAAGGGGATTTCCTCATTCGTGACAGTGAATCTTCGGTAAGTTGATTTTCAAAGGTAAATGCAACCAGAACTTTGAGTATTAAACAAACAAGCAAAAAAATAGCTGAACGCGGTGGCTCATGCCTATAATCCCAGCACTTTATGGGAGGCAGAGGCAAGAGGATTGCCTGAGTCCAGGGGTTTGAGACCAGCCTGGGCAACTTGGCAAGACCTTGTCTCTACAGTAAATAAAAAAATTAGCCAGGCATGGTGGTGCATGCCTGTGGTTCCAGCTATTTGGAAGGCTGAGGCGGAAGACTTGCCTGAACCCAGCAGGTTGAGGCTGTGGTAGTTTCTGGAATTCTTAAGACATAGGAAGTTCCTGGATTTAAAAAATTTATATTAAGTTTCTTCATAAATCAGTTGTTTGTATTTAGAATACACTTTTACTACATACCTCAAAAACCTATTTTAACACTTCCCATGTTAGAAGTACATTTGCAATAAAAGGTAAGTTATATTGTAATACTAGTAAACAGTACAACTTAAAACAACAAAAATTAAGAATATAGTTATGTGGTCTCTTTAGGGAACTATTTAGGATATTGGAATGTGATGATACTCATTTTCCTTAAAAATGGCCTTTCTTTTTCCTTGATAAAAGATATCACTACTTTTCCATGTATCAGATAGTGATTAATATTGGCTTTGTGTGAATATAGTTGTACAAAAGTGAATATGTAATGATACAAAAGGTTGAAAGAAAGCCAGCAGATAAAGTAAGAGAGATTAGTTGAACTTCCTAATGTGAAGTTCAAGAAAATGGGGCCTGTGCCTAACCTCTCAGAAGACAGGTGGTTGGCAGAAGGGGACAATGGTGGGCTCTGTTTTCCATCAGCTGCCTGACCTGGCCCACTGTTGGAAACTTTGGAAGTAGTTGTATAAAAAGAGGCTTCTGGAGTTTATACAGACTATTCAGTAGAGTGTTGGGTTAAAAAAAAAAAAGTACTCTCCCATTTCTCCCTAGAAAAATAAAAAACAAAAAATAACCCCACCTAATTAAAAGGAAAGTAGTTTGAATGCAAAATAATGTGTATTTTCTTGTGAGTAACTGAGCATAGATAATAGCCAAAATACAGTATACCATTATTTTAAGTTATAAGTTTAAAATAGGCATATTTCATTGAGTCTTCACAGTGTTTTTTAAACACTTGAATCCACTGCCAGTATTTAAGTACTGAGAGACTGATTATAAACATTTAGACTTCAGACATCCCGTTTAGAATTGGGTGTCTGCCAACATTAAGCCCCTGTTCCTGTGGACCACAGTCGCTACTGAGAAGGGGCCACTTCCTTTAGATTGACCACACGCTGTCATCCCCTGTACCTCTGTCCTTCCACCCTGACATCTGTTTACCTGTTTACTCTTCTGGCTCTGCAGGCATTTGAGTTTGTGGCCTGTCATTAGCGTTTAGATTAATTCTCGTCTGTGTGTCCTTCACTTTTGAGAATTCAGGGTGTTATTCCTACGACAGCTACTATTAGCTACAAATTGAAAAAGAATGGGTTGGGGCTGTTACATTTTCTCACATGTTTCCCCAGTATTCTAGCTGGGAAGAAGATAGCTCTTGTCAAAAGTTAAGCTAAAAGACTTGCTGTGGCTGCGTGCAGCAGGACCGTGTATGTTCAGAGACTTTTGACCATACTAGTATGAATCCTGACTCTTGTTAACTAGGTGGGTGATATTGGGAAGGTTAAGCTTCTCCGAACCTCATTTTTCTCATCTGTAAAAAGGGTTTGTTTGGAGAGGAGTAAAGGAAATCATCTGCGTAAATAATTTAATGGTACCTGGTATTAGTGCTCAAGTTTTAGCTGTTACTAGTTTAATAGAAAAATGCTGACAGGTGATTTTCAAAATGTTTACTCTGTGTTTTTTCTCTTTTAGCCAAATGATTTCTCAGTATCGTTAAAAGCACAAGGGAAAAACAAGCATTTTAAAGTCCAACTAAAAGAGACTGTCTACTGCATTGGACAGCGTAAATTCAGCACCATGGAAGAACTTGTAGAACATTACAAAAAGGCACCAATTTTTACAAGTGAACAAGGAGAAAGATTATATCTTGTCAAGCATTTATCATGATACTGCTGACCAGAAGTGACTGCTACGTAGCTTTAATTCATCATGTAATTGGAGACTGAAAAGATATTGGTCCAGTCGTGCTTGACTGGAAATTGCTGTTTCTAACTCTATATGAGAATTGACTATAATACCTAAGTATTTTTATTATAACTCAGCCCATACATATATACTGTGTATGCAGTACATCCATAGAACAGTTCCTTATCTTTGATCTTTTGTTGTTTTCTTCTTTGCTGTTTTTCTCTTTGCTTCTATATTAAGGTTTTGTATTTTGAAAATAATCAAATACTGCAGATAAGAAGTCTTTATATGGAAGAATTCCTTTATTGCCTTTCCTTTATTTCCTTGTGTAGGCACCCTGTTAGTTCTGCCATGGTTTCTCTTCATATAAAATTATTATATCTATATATGGCATATGCTGAAATAAATTTCCTAGAGTGTTAATCATTTCTGTGACTAAATAGCAATAATAAACAGAAATTTAGAAATTATTTTCAGGTATTGTATTTGTCACATGCTATGATAGATACCAAATATGTTGTGCCATCATTTTTAAAAGTTCATCCATTCCTCAGTGTACAGCAAAACAGATGAGACAAGCATACAGTTTTAATTCACCACTTTTGGAAACAAAAATTACTAAAGTCTTAAGCATTTTTTCCCCCAGTACTTCTCTCTCATCTGATTATTCAAGAGAACAAAGCAGCCTCTGAGATATTTAGTTTTTCATTCTACAAATGGATTCTCTAGTGTTGTTTTCTCCCTTAGGATTATCTTACCAAAGCACATTGTATTGGCCCATGTTTTATTTTTGCCAGTGTGAAGTAAGTCATGGTCAAGTTCCGGGGAAATAGAAGGCCATGAGATACTAAACATCAGTAATTGTCAGGAAAAGTATTTCCTGTTTTTATTTCCTCCTTTACACTTTGGCTTTTGTTGACCAGGACACTAAAATTTACGTTTACCTGAGGGGAAAATACAGTGTGCTTGTGATTTGAGAAATTCATATTATTTTAAAAATCTCTTCTTTGTTTTTGCCAAGTAGGATTTGTGTGTGTGAATGAGGGGCTGCTCTAAAGTACTGAATCATCGCCCGCAGGCCACAGAAGAATACCAGCCGTAGCTTAGGTCACAGCTTTTACCCCATTAATACTGGAGATTTGAATATAAGCAAAGTAACCATCAATATTTTAATTGAAAATACTTATTAAAATCACATAACTTAGTAAACAGCAGGGAGTCATAGGATATTTTCAAATGTTCTCTCAGTGCTGCCTAAGCATATGAATGTTTTCATTCTTTGCTATGTTATAAACAGACATTTAATGCGCCAGAATTCTGATGATATAATTGAATTGTGTAATTTATGGATTTTTAAATTTTGTAAATTTAAATCTTAAAATCGGCCAGGCACGGTGGCTCAGCCTGTAATCCCAGCACTTTGGGAGGCCAAGGTGAGTGCACTGCCTGAGCCCATGGGTTCGAGACCAGCTCAGGCAACTTGGTGAGACTTCATCTCTACAATAAAAAAATAAAAAATTATCCGGGCTTGGTAGTGTGCACCTGTAGTTCTGGCTACTTGGAAGTCTGAGACAGAAGGATCACCAGAGCCCAGCAGTTCAATGCTGGAGTGGCCGTGAGCGTGCCGCTGCACTGCAGCCTGGGTAACGGAGTGAGATACCAACTCAAAAAAAAAAAATTAATCTTTAAAATTCCCTAAAGACATATAACCACTGGGTGGCAGCCCTGGCTTCTTCCATAAGCAATGGAAGTTGACAAATATAATTAAGACATTGATTTTTATTCTCCCAAATTTTTGTCTTTATTGAATTAGCTTTTTTTTTTTGAGTTGGAGTCCCACTCTGTCGCCCAGACTGGCCACCACAGCCTTGACCTGCTGGGCTCTGGTGATCCTTCCGCCTCAGCCCTCCGAGTAGCCGGAATTATAGGTGCGCGCTACCACGCCCAGCTCATTTTTTATTTTATTGTAGAGATGAGGTCTCGCCTGCCCAGGCGGGTCTCGAACCTGCGGGCTCAGGCAATCCATTCACCTCAGCCTCCCAAAGGCGTGGGATTACAGGCTGAGCCACCGAGCCCAGCTGAATTTGCTGTTTTAAAGCCTTTTAGTTCACAATTCAATATCTAACTCAGTGCTCTGCCATTTATTCAAGTAATTATTAGTAGGTAAGTTTAATAGAAATAAAAATCATGTATGCTTACCTTCTTTGTTGTAAAATTCCATGGATATAAGTTGAGGAAAATAATTTTCAAATGGTTGTAGAATGACTAGTTAGTAAACATCTTTTTATTTAATTGTTCACATACATTTGATAATGTTTTCTTTTTGTTCTTTGTTGTTTTTTTCCCAAAAAACCCAGTCTTCCTTATGGGGGAAAAAATGGGTGTTTTAAGAAAGGACCAATTAATACTTTGTACCATAGACATAAGCTATTTCTAGAAAACCCACTGAGCTGATATTAACAGCAGAATTTTGAGAAAATGACTAGAAATGGAGTTGCACTGGAAGCAGAGTGCATATTTCTGTCATAATTAGGTTGATTATAACTGTAGGGTTCCCAGATAACCCATGCGGGCTGGTAAGACCTGTTGTGTGCTCTCATATGGTATGAAAACCTCGCTGGGGACTACTTTATTTTATCCTTCTTACCCCAATCTTTACACCAATGGCTGTTTTTAAAAGCATGAATTTTACTTGAAACCATTTTCTGAAGAACTGGAACAATGCTAGAAAATATCTGCATAGCTAAGTCGCAGCAGTACTTACATTAGAAACTGGATTTCCTTATTCCCATCATGGTGTCTGTATCACAACACACTGACCTGTGTATACCTGTTTTTAGATAGGACGTTCCTGGGAAGAGCAGTATTACAGAAGTGTATTCCACCTGTGAGGAGATGCTTAGCTATCAATTTTAAATACACATGCATGCAACCCTGCCTAGCCCACTTCTACAAATAACTTCTCCAAAATCTGGGAAGAAGGTTGGTTGGTTGGTTTTTTTTTGAGTTGGAATCTCACTTTGTCGCCCTCGGCCTGCTGGGCTCCAGCGATCCTTCCGCCTCAGCCTTCCAAGTAGCCGGAATTACAGGCATGCGCTACCTCGCCCGGCTGATTTTTTGATTTATTGTAGAGATGAGGTCTCGTTGCCCAGGCGGGTCTGGAACCCGTGGACTCAGGCAATCCACTCACCTCAGCCTCCCAAAGGTGCGGGATTACAGGCTGAGACACCAAGCCCGGCTTAGAAGGTTTTTTAGAACATTATATAAGCTTAATAAGAAAAACTATCACTGTTGATTCTTTATTTGATCATGAGTCCTTAGGTTCAGCTGAATATATATTCGCAGATGTATATCACACATATTTCAGCATACACAGTTAACACGTGTACCTAGCGAGAATAGCTGTCTTACAGATATGGCAAAATAGGAAGACTTCGTGCAACTTATTGCCATTGCTAGAAGAATAAAAAGGCTTAGCAGAAGAATAGCTTGAGTTGTTAGAATAAGGTCACCCCTGTGGATACATGGCACTTAAATTATCTCTAGCTGTAATGCTCTATTATCTAATCCAAGGACTGCAAAGAAGCAGGGTCGCTACAATCTATGTCATACCTTCGTGAGAATTCGAAAAAAGCACCTTGACTTGGGCAGGCCCAGCCGCATATCTAGAAGTTTGAATTTCAAACTTGCCTTGTTTAGGGTACATCCAAGCACAGTGGATTTATGCAGGAATACTGTTCAACCTATACAATGCTTAAAAAAATAATTGCCAACATTTAAAAATTGGAGAATTTCACATAAAATCCAGAGTGCTGGCTTCCCTTTCAAAATGAGAAGCTGATAACATGATTGAATTTCCACAAGTCAACCATCACCTAGAGTCTAGTATGGGTGGTGCCCTTTATTTTTGCCAATGCATATGGTGAAAAAATTCAAACACTATATATAATGTCTCCGTCGAAAAAATATAGAGACAAATCTCTACATTTAAAACATTTGGGAAGCAAGAATGGTAATTTGGGGCTTACACAGACTCAGTGGTTTTCAGTGTGTCTAAACAAAGAGGAGATTGGGATTTTTATTAGACAAAGGTTATGTATATTTTGAAAGAAAGCTTGTTGGCACTAAAACTTTGAAGAACTGACACACTGACGGCGAGTGCCAGTGGTGGGTAAGGACAGTCTTGGAGTCAGGGCAGCTGGTTTCAGCTGCTACTAGGTGAAACAGCTGGGCTTGTGGAAAATCGAATTCCTGGAGCCAGGTACCCTGCGCCTTCGTCCCCTACCCCTACTACTCAGTCTAGTTGGGAATGACAAGAATTTCTGTTTGTGTATTTAACTTTCATATTCCATATCTCCAGATGCAGTCACTGTTACTCCCTGTTTTTCCTGTAACAGTTTTCGGTGTAGAACCTGGAAATTATTTTTTAAAAACACTTCAGATGCGTTGTACAAATCAATAAATTGGGCATGGAATATTACATTGTACTTTAACTTTTCCATTTTAATACATTGCTAGAAGATAAGGGGGTCTTTTTATAGTCTTGCAGTCAATCTAGATCTTTTAACTTTCCAAATAGCTTCACAGTGTTGGTCATTTTTTTCTTTAAGGGACATTTGATATAGGACAAATGATACTCTGATTTTATGTTCCAAGCAGCATTTAGTGGGCTTTTTTTTTTTTTTTTTTTAAAGTCAGGGTGTTACTCTGCAGCCCAGGCTGAAGGGCAGTGGCATGATCACAGCTTGCCACAACCTCGACCTCCTTGGCTCAAGTGATCCTCCCACCTCAGCCTCCAAAGTAGCTGGGACTACAGATGTGTGCCACCACACTTGGCTGATTTTTCTCACTATGTTGGTTGCCCAGGCTGATCTTGAACTCCAGGCACCACTCCTGCTTCAGCCTCCCAAAGTGTTGGGATTACAGGTATGAGCCACCACACCTCCAGTGGGCTTAAAAAAAAAAAAACACACCAGATTACTACTTCTGGTGAAAACCATTATTGGAAGCACTGACTTGCTACTCTATTCTAACAAGCTGGTTCTGTCGGGTTTAGCAAGTTGATGTGACTCAACTCTGCCATCTTTTAAGCACTTGACCAACCAGCATACTATGCGTGCCCACACCCTAATTTCTTGCTTTCAAATGACCTAAACCAAGTGTCTAAGGAACTAAAATAAACTAGTTCTAGGTTACTGATGAGGCGCTCTTTTGACCTGGAAGTATGCACTGTTTGCTGAGACTCGTTTGTTTTAATGAGTAGACCTAAATTGGGCTTCGGATTTTTAAGAACAGGAGGAGTTTCAGTTATCATCAGCTGTGTTCACAGAGGTAAATGTTTTAAACCCAAGTGCTTTTGAGAATGTTTCCCAGTAGATTAAAATCGACATCTAAGGTAAAAATACATTTTGTGGCTCAGATAATTTATATCTTAGACTTTGGGAAATTATGGAGGAAAAAAGGTGGATTCCGGAATGAGACAGCTAAGTGTTGTCTATTTTAGGGCTGAACACAAGAGTGACTATTAAGTTGATATTTTTTGAATACTTAGGAAGGAAATTAGTAATCCCTGAGTATCTTCAAACAAGCCTGTTTTGACGTTTTCTGGACAAGAGACAAAGGGGAAGCTATAGGAAACAAATATTGATTTCATCAGGACATGGGGTGTATATGGTTGTGTGTCTGTATGTTTAAGTAGCTTTTGGTGATCCAATCAGCCAGCCAACTCACCTCAAATATTTGGTTGCTCATGCTGTTCCAGCAATATAGCAGTGAGAAAAATAGACAAAACTTCATGAAACTTACATTTTTTTTGATGTAATGCCTATTAGAGAAAAGCTCTGAAATATAGCAGAGCAAGAAAGGTTGAGAGTGAAGGTGGAGGCAGTTAGTTTATATGGGATGACAAAAAGGTCTCTAGCCAAGCGCAGTGGCTCATGCCAGTAATCCGAGGTGGAAGGATTGCCTGAGTCCAAGGGTTCGAGACCAACCTGGGCAACTCAATAAAAAATTAGCTGGGCATGGTGGCGCACACCTGTCGTTCCAACTACTTTGGAAGGCTGAGGCAGAAGGATTGCCTGAGCCCAGCAGGTCGAGGCTGCCGTGACTGGAAGCGTGCCACTGCACACCAACCTGGGTGACAGTGAGACTCTGACTCAAAAACAAAAGGCCTCTTGAGAATTGACCTGGGGCACTTTGTGCGTCCACTTGACAGAATCACAGTGACCAGGATTAACCGGTGATTGAAATACAGCAGCCAGGCCAGGTGCAGTGGCTCAAGCCTGTCATCCCAGCACTTTGGGAGGCTGAGGTGAAAGGATTGCCTGAGCCCACGGGTTCGAGACCAGCCTGGGCAATGTGGTGAGACCTCATCTCTACAATAAAAAAAAAATTAGGGTGTTATAGCTGTGGCTATTTGGAAGGCTGAGGCAGAAGGATTGCTGGACCCCAGCAGGTCGATGCTGGGGTGGCCGTGAGCATGCCACCGCACTCTAGCCTGGGCAATGGAGTGAGACTCCAACTTGAAATAAGTAAACACATAAAAAGATGAGGAGAGATCTGCTTTTCCTCCAGATAAACACCCATGAACAAATGCAATCTCTGCTCCAGCCCTCTCTGCTTCCTGCACCCTCCCTTCCTCATTGTCACTTGAAGCACTCAGTCACCTCCGTGCACTTTGAAGCTGGGTTTCGTTCATGCTGGACCTCTTTCCAAAGCGGTGGTTACCACAGAATAAAGGCTTTAGTGCTTGAAAAATAATAAATGCCCTGTGTTACTTCTAGAAAGAAAAAAGGTAGACAGTGAGTTACAACGCAATGTCATCTGCGCTAGAGCCCAGATGAACAGAGATACTTGGGAATATTGGTACAAAGGGAAGGAACTATTCTTTGCTAAGCAGGAAAAGGAAGGGTCCTGGGATGGAGTTACTGGCCACGTGGTGCATGCCAGGGCTGCAGGGCCTTTCATGGACTCGCACAGCTCTGAAGAGGACCTCCGACTGACACCCTGGATGCTTCTCTGGCTCCTCCATTCCTGGCCTTGCAGGACACACAGGGCTCGGGAGTCTCGCTCTCAGCCTTCACGCTTCCCGTCCCTCCCGACGGCCTCTCTTCGCCTCTCCACACAACCCCTTGACCTGCCTGCTTTTCCTCCCGGAATCGAAAGTCAGCGATCTGAGTGGCAAATGGTGTTGCAGGAACCAAGGTCCTGTTTCTGGGTGGTGCCTGCTTGGGATGGGAAATAAGCACATTTCCCCAGCAGTGTGAGCTCCAGACCACGGGTCATCCTCCAACTCTGGGGAAGAGCTGGAAATTGACCTTGAAAATTAACCTGAGCGGTACAGGCTGCAGGATGGAGGACAGTCTGATCTGGGCACGTTGCAAAGACGATGGATCATCACCAGGTGAGACGGTCTCGAGAGAGAAGGCCCTCAAGGCCAGGAAAGAAAGGCAGAATCACTGACTCCCTCCAGAAGCCCTCACCCGACGACGTGGCCCAGGAAGAGGTGGGTGGTCTGAGCTTCTTGTTGGGTCATGACCCAGGCTTGAGAAGGACTGTCATTCAAAAGCCATGACAGGCAGATGGCGTTGCCTCTCAGTGCCCAGCGAGGACAGACTCTTCCTGCAGGCCGAACTGTCTTATCAGAGCATGGCGGTGCTGGGCAGTGGTGTCTTGACAGAGACCCATGCCCAAGCAGTGCTAAGAGTTGGAGTCTCACTCGGTCGCCCAGACTGGAGTGCAGTGGCCGCTCCCGGCCACCGCAGCCTCGACCTGCCGGGCTCCGGCGAGCCTTCCGCCTCAGCCTTCCAAGTAGCCGGAATTACAGGCGTGCGCTACCACGCCCGGCTGATTTTTTGATTTATTGTAGAGATGTGGTCTCGCTGCCCAGGCGGGTCTCGAACCCGCGGGCTCAGGCAATCCGCTCACCTCAGCCTCCCAAAGGCGCGGGATGACAGGCTGAGCCACCGAGCCTGGCTGCTAAGTTCCCATCTAAAGGCCTCAAAGTCTGGTGAACAAGTCTCCTTCTTCCCCTCAGCATAGCTAAGTGAGCCTTACTCTTTCCTCCATTTTCTCTGTCGCCTTACCCTTCCCTTTTCATCCTCTGATTCAGTCCGTGTTCCCCTCAACCTTTCCATCCTCGGGCCCCGCTCATGTCATCCCCCCAGTTGGGATGCCGGACAGCGAATGCATCTCCCCCCATCCCCGCCCGTATCTAGATGGGCGCCTCCTTGGAACCCATATCGAGGCAAGCCTGTTCACTAAAGCCTTTGTTCATCTCAGGCCACTCACCCTTCTGCGGCCCTCAGACACAACGTGAGCATTCCTTTGGGCCTGAGAGTCAGGCAGGCCTCAGCTGGACTTCCTAGTTCTGGGGTGATCTACAATAAGCCAGTTTCCCTGAGCCCTGTGTCCTCATCTGACAAGTAGAGAATTCCATTTTTACCTTCCAAGTTTGCTGCACAATGTAGGGACATGTCCATAGTGTATGGAAAGCCTTGAAGACGATTCCTGGCACGCAGTAGATAGCCAGTACACACGGGCTTGTTGGTTAACTTGTGACCTGCGGGAACTGTAAGCGGAGGTGGATTCGGGAGAAAGGAATCAGGAAGCCAAGACGAGAGAACAGAGGTGAGATTGGGGACAGTTGTTTGAGGCCAAGTTGGGGTGTGCCCAAACCCAACGGAAAGGCGAGACAGGATCAGATGCCAGAGGAGCAGTGAGAGACCAGGTACAAGCAGACAGTGACCGAGGTCAAGACCCAGATGTGGTGGCCCCTGACTCAGAGTGCTGGGGACAAGGAAAACACACACCACGTTCTCAACCGTGATGTCGTAAAGAGACAGCCAGCCAGAGTTTACCGTACACTTAACCTTAGGTCAGATCCTCTTTTGAGTTCCTGTCTCAGTCCTCACAACAGCCTGAGGTAGAGACTATTATTATATAATAGTTCCCAGTTTACAGATGAGAACACCGAGGCAGTTTCAATGACTTGCCTCAAGGACACAGCTAGTCGCTGGCAAAGCCTGAATGCCAACCCCAGCAACCTGGCTCCAGAGTCCATGCTTAGAGCAATGACTTTCTAGTAGATACCTTCAACTGGAAGCCTTTCTTTGCTGGTCCAGGGACCACACTGAAAGATGGGCAGCCAGCCGAGGGCCAGCCACTCCGAGCAAATACATCCCAATTTTGGTATTGTTAATATTATGAACGTGAAGACCTACAGGATTCCTGGCGCTGGGCTGATGTGCTGTGTCTGTGTTCTTTAATTCTCATAATGGTTATGCAAGGCTTTTTTTTTTTTTTTTTTTGGAGTCGGAGTCTCACTCTGTCACCCAGGCTGGAGGGCAGTGGCACAGTCATGGCCACCGCAGCCTCGACCTGCTGGGCTCAGGCGATCCTTCCGCCTCAACCTTCCAGGCAGCTGGAACTCCAGGCGCGCGCCACCATGCCCGGCTGATTTTTTAATTTATCGTAGAGACGAGGTGTCACCAGGTTGCCCAGGCTGGTCTGGAACCCCTGGGCTCAGGCAGTCCTCTCGCCTTGGCCTCCCAAAGTGCTGGAATTACAAGATTGAGCCACAGTACCTGGTCCATACTACATAAATTTACTAAAAAAGAGGTCCTTGCTTTTTTCCCCTTTGCATCAAAAATAGCTCAACCTTTCCTGTCTAGTCCTTAACCCATAACTCTCCAGTTTCTGAAACTCCTCTTGCTGTGATTGCAAGGGACTTTCCCAGTTGCAAAACCCAGAGAACTTTTTTCTTTCTTTTGAGTCGGAGTCTCACTCCATCGCCCAGACTGGAGTGCAGTGGCACGCTCCCGGCCACCGCAGCCTCGACCTGCTGGGCTCCGGCGATCCTTCTGCCTCAGCCTTCCCAGTAGCTGGAGCCACAGATGTGTGCCACCACGCTTGGCTATTTTTTTTAAAAATGTATTGTAGAGGCAAGGTCTCACCAAGTTGCTCAGACTGGTCTCGAACCCCTGGGCTCAGGCAATCCTCTCACCTCGGCCTCCCAAAGTGCTGGGATGACAGGTGTGAACCACCACGCCTGGCTTGACATTTTCCAGTGACTGGCTCACTGGCCCTGTCTTCTGCACTGCCCTTGATCACGTTATCCTTCAATGTTTCCGGGACCACTTCCTCGACCTACTTCTCTTCCCCCCTATTTTTTCTTGCCCTGGTCTTCTTTAGGGGCATACCCACCGCTCTCCTTAAATCGACATACTCTCCCTGGTTGATCTCACTACTTCCCGTTGTCAGCTATCACTGCGATGCTGGAGTTAGGGGAGAAGGTACCATGTCCTTGACCCCACTCGGCTTGAGACAGATTATTCACACGCTGGAGACGCCCCCTGCCCTCAGAAGCACCTCGCGCTCAAGCGTGTCGAGCTGAACACATGCAACCTTCCTCCGCATCACCCCCAGCCTGCCTGTCCCGACCCCACCCGCCACACCCATCTCTCCATTGTTTCAGGTGAGATGCTACCTCCACCCAGTTCCCCAACCAGAACCTGAAAGTCATGCTCCGCACCTGGTCCCAGACTCTCCCCCAGCCACTCAGTACCCAGGAGCCGTCAGTCCTGCCTCCCGTATCTCCCCAAGGTGGCCCCTTCTCCCTACGGCCATGGGAAACCTAGCCAAGGCCAACAACATCTCAGCAAGGCGACCGCCGCTGCTCCCTCCGGACCCTCCGCCTGCAATCTGGCCCCTGCCCTGCTCACTCCGCTTCAGTCGTTAACGTTTGAAAAGCCCCTATAGGGGGAATGACATCAGATTTGTGCTTCTGACCCTTCCTGTGCCTGCACTGCTGTCAGGGTGAATCCCACGCTCCTCCACAGGCATCCCAAGGCAGCTTGGAAGGGGACAGCTAGTGAACGAAGCGGAGGCAAGCTGCCCACCCTCTGGCCTCTGGGGCGCCGGGCTCCCCGGACTGAGCCTGTGGTCGAGCTCTCTCCCCTGGGCGGATTCTCCAGCTCCACTTTCTCTGGAATGCTCCCTAGGCCACTCCCTCTGATGCAATATCTGGGTTTGGGCAGAAAGGAGGGGTTGCCAAGCCCGCCCTCTCTGAGCTTTCTGGGTCGGCTCCGGGGCGACTGGGGCTTTGCTGCGACTCAGACAGCAGCTCCAGCAGAGACGGCTGAGATGGATGGAACGTTTCATTCTGGAGGGAAACCACGTTCCGGGTCAAACTGAGTCTGCCAGACACAGACCTTCAGGATAGTGCTAGCAGAAATCGGGACAAGTCTTATCATGTGGGTCTTCTACGCCTGGATTCCATGTTTGCTCACAGGTAAGTATGAATAAGAGACACCCAATAAGGGAGAAGGTATCATGCTCTTGACACTTGGGTCCTGGAATGGAGGCTAAGAAGGTAAAAAATACTTCCCCAGGCTTTGGGATGGAAGTATGTGTGTAAAACAACTTATGTCTGGGTTTTTTGTTTTGTTTTGTTTTTGAGTCGGGGTCTCACTCTGTTGCCCAGCCTGGAGTGTAGGAGCATGACCATGGTTCACCGCATCCTTGACCTCCTGGCCTCAGGTGATCTTCCCACGTCAGCATCCTGGGTAGCTGGGAATACAGGTGTGCACCATTACACCCCACTATTTTTTTTAAATTTTTTTTTTGTAGACATGAGGTCTCGCTATGTTGCCTGGGCTGATCTCAAACTCCTGGGTTCAAGTGATCCTTTCAACTCTGCCTCCCAAATTGCTGGGATTACAGGCGTGAGCCACTGTGCCCATTCTCTGTTTTTTTTTTTTTTTTTTGAGTTGGAATCTCACTCTGTCACCCAGACTGGAGTGTAGTGGCCACTCCCGGCCACTGCAGCCTCGACCTGCTGGGCTCCGATGATCCTTCCGCCTCAGCCTTCCAAGTAGCTGGAACTGCAGGCGTGCGCTACCACGGCCGGCTAATTTTTTATTTTATTGTAGAGATGAGTCTCGCCAAGTTGCCCAGGTGGGTCTCGAACCCGCGGGCTCAGGCAATCCACTCACCTCAGTCTCCCAAAGTGCTGGGATTACAGGTTGAGCCACTGAGCCCGGCTTCATCCTCTGTTTTATAAGAGATTTCTCACCTATTAAACCTCCATTCCCACATCCCAAAGAAAAGGCCTGCATTCTGTTTTGGAAATATCTTTCCTAATGTCCACATAACAATCTAGAAAGATAAATCATCAAATTGTCTAAAGTTTAGCAGATTTTTGTGTATGTTGTTATTTATCTCAATATCTGGTTTTAATGGTGCAGTGGAGTTCTGTCAGTCTTTCTGTGTGGTTTCCGGGATGTTAACTGGAAGGACAGACGAAAACAAAAATTCTGGTCTGGTGTGGTAGCCCAAGTCTGTAATCCCAGCACTTTGGGAGGCCGAGGTGGGAGGATCGCTTGAGTCCAGGAGTTTCAGACCAACCTAGGCAACATAGCCAGACTTCATCTCTACAAAAAAAAAAAAAAAAATTTAAAAATGAGCCTATAGCTGGGCTCGGTGGCTCGACCTGTAATCCCGCGCCTTTGGGAGACTGAGGTGAGTGGATTGCCTGAGCCCATAGGTTCGAGACCTGCCTGGGCAGCAAGACCTCCTCTCTACAATAAATTTAAAAAATCAGCCGGTCGTGGTAGCACATGCCTGTAATTCCGGCTACTTGGAAGGCTGAGGCAGAAGGATCACTGGAGCCCAGCAGGCGAGGCTGTGGTGGCCGGGAGCGGCCACTGCACTCCAGTCTGGGCGAAAGAGTGAGACTCCAACTCAAAAAAATAAAATAAAATAAAACAAATAAAAATAAAAATGAGCCTATAGTCCCAGTTACTTGGGAAGCTGAGTGGGGAGGATCGCCTGAGCCCAGGAGGTGGAGGCTGTGGTGAGCCCATGATCTGGGCAACAGAGAGACCCAAACTCAAAACAAAAAAAAAACTAACAAAATTCTCTTTAAAAAAAAAAAGAAAGACACTTTGTGAACTTAATATTGGGTACAAGACTTATAAAAATTGGATCTCTCTTCTGGCCATTGCAGAAAAGGTACTCCATTGCATTTTAAAAAGTATTTGGTTGGGGGCATTTTCTCTACCAGGAAGATTGCATACTTCCCTCTGCTCCATGCCTGGCTGCTTGTGCCTGTCTGCCTGTTGTTCTGAAATCACAGCTCTTCCCTGTGATGTTGTTTTTTTCCATGGCAAATCACTTTTAAGTGAAATTTCTAATTATGGCACTCCAAGATACTAGTGTTGCCAGGATCCTTAGACACGTCCTGTGTTGCATTTTCTTTTTACACAGAACTCCTGATTCTAGTTACTTCGAATCAGACAACACATCAGTGCTAAGACAATTTGCAAGTGCGCAGAACCGGCTTAAACATCCAATGGTCGGTGTTCCTCCCTAGCTCTGAAAACTTCACAGCTCCCAAGTGTTCAGCACGTGACGTCCAAGTTCTGCTTTGCTGCTCATAATCCAGCATATTAGGGCCCCGCCCTGTGTTTACTCAACCCTATTTCTCACTACTCCTTGCAAACGAGTCTGGACTGCAGGCCGCCGCCGTCTCCATTGGCACAGCATGCCCTCGTGTCCACTCCTGGCCTTCATTGTTGCAAAACTTCCCACCAGAAGTACGTCTCCGGTCTCTTTCCCCATCCCAAGCCCACGCTCCCATTATCCTTCCAGAAGGGTCCCTCTTCCTGGGAACCCCTCCTGGGCCTCTCTCTCCTTTGACCCTTGACCCCATGCTCTTACTCTGGCGGGTTACTTCTCTTTCCAGCACTGGCCTGAGGGTAGGGCCGTGTTTCCTGGTGTCCCTGCAGTCCCCAGTACAGGCTGGCTAAGTTTGATTAGTTGGTTGGTTGGTTGTTCAGTTGTCAGAACAAAAACGTTGCCAAGAAAACAGTCCTCCGCTAAACCCAAGAGAGGCTGAATGAGAAGAGGAGAGACCAGCGTTTGTTGACTTGACATTTCCTTTAGTGAGTTCAGCCTTCTGACACTTACAAATGTACACATCAAACAAAACAAAACAAAACAAAACAAAAAAACGGCCAGGTGTGGTGGCTCACGCCTGTCATCCCAGCACTTTGGGAGGTGGAGGTGAGAGGATTGCTTGAGCCCAGGGGTTTGAGACCGGCCTAGGCAACTTGGCGAGACCTCATCTCTACAATAAATCAAAAAAATTAGCTGGGTTCGCGCCTGTAGTTCCAGCTGTTTCAAAGGCTGAGGCAGAAGGATCGCCTGAGCCCAGCAAGTCAAGGCTGTGGTGGCCGTGATTGTCACTCACCCCAGCTTAGGTGACAGAGTGAGACTCTGTCTCAAAACAAAAGAAAACAAAAAACCACGCAAAAAACCCCAGTGGTGGAAACCACAAGATTGTCAGAGCCAGAAAGACCTGCGTGTGAATTTTGACTCTATCACAGGGACTAGATTATATCACTTGTTCCCCCATCTGTGAATTGGGCATAGGTGCTGCCTTGAGGTTGTGAGGTGTTGAAACTGCGAAGACATCAGCAGCCCTGCCCACACTGTGAGTTACTCTTACCTGTGGTTATGCAGATGGATGGTGGTGTCAGCATATACCTGCATTAGCTGAAGTTGCCCTTATGCAGTTTCGACCATTTCCTCTGGATTGTGTAGGTGCCCGTGATGAACTTCCATTTGTTACTGGATCACTGAACAGATAGGCAGGATTATGTGCTCTCGTTCATAGAAATCATTTACCGTCCCCTGTCCCTTCCAAATAATAGCATGTGAGTCAGGAAGCGCATTCCTGCTACCAGTAATAACAACAGCAACAACAACGGTGACAATTACAACTGCCATTTCCGAGTACACACTGTGCCTAGGTTAGTAAAAACATTCTCTTGACTTCTCACCTCAGTCTTGCAAGGTAGGTGTTATCATCTCCATCTCACACACTGGGAACAGAGACCAAGAGGTCCAGTCATTTGTCCAAGCATTCACATCTAGAAGGTGGAGGAATCAGGATTTGACTCCGGTTTGGTCTGTGCCCTTGTTCTCCACAGAAGAGGCTGGGACAGCAAAACAGGCAGAGAAGGGGAGGAGGAGACCAGGTGTGGTGGTGCACGCTTGTCATCCCAGCACTTTGGGAGGCGGAAGCGAGAGGATTCCCACGGGTGTGAGACCCGCCTGGGCAACTTGGTGAGCCCTCGTCTCCACAATAAATCAAAAGGTTAGCTGGACATGGTGGCGCACGCTGTAGTTCCAGCTACTTAGAACGCTGAGGAGGAAGGACCCTCTGAGCCCAGGAGGTCGAGGTTGTGATGGCCAGGAGCACGCCACTACACTCCAGCCTGGGCACAGAGTGAGACTCCAACTCACAAAAGAAAAGAAAGGAAAAGAAATTGGGTGGAGGGACAAAGTGAAAGGGATCAGGAAGACAGTTCTGCACTTTGGGTTGCCTTTGCCTTAAAGGCTGTCGGAGGCATGGGGGGTGGGGTGAAACAGGATATAGACGTGAGATTGACGTGAGACTGGGTTGGAGTGACAAGATGGAGTGTCCTTCAGGGAAGACATGCCAAGGTGCTTGCCTGCAAAGTTTGTCCAAGGGCCCTGGGTGGGCTGTCTTCGTGCGGCTTCCTTGACCGACTCAAGGTTTTAGGAAATAGGTGAGTAGCAACCAGCGGCTCTGACTTAAGGAGGATGAAAGAAGGGTTAGGAAAAAAGAAGTCAGGCGGAGGCCAATGTCTTGAGGGGAGCCAAGGCTTAGTTCACTTGTTTCGTCACGGCAGCTTCGACCTCCTGGGCTCCGGGCATCCTTTGGCCTCAGCCTTCCAAGTCGCCAGAACTACAGTCGCATGCCATCATGCCTGGCTGGTTTTTTGATTTACTGTAGAGATGACGTCTCGTCAAGTTGCCCAGGCTGGTCTCGAACCCCTGGGCTCAGGCAGTCCTCTCACCTCCGCCTCCCAATGTGCTGGGATGACAGGCGTGAGCCACTGCGTCCGTGTTTCTCTTGCTTCTCTTGCTTGCCTTCTTACGGTGGCTGGGACTTCCGGGACTGTGTTGAATAAGAGTGGTGAGAGTAGACATTCTTGCTTGTTCCTGGTCTTAGGCAGGAAGCCCTCGGTCATTCGCTGTTAAGTGAGATGTTGGCTGTGGGTTTTTTGTCGATAGTCTTTATCAATTGAAGGTAACCCTTTGCAGCTCTTCACATGAAGAGGGTTTTTTTTTTTTTTTTTTTTTAGTTGGGGTCTCATTCTGTTGCCTAGGCTGGAGGGCAGGGGCATGCTCACGGCCACCGCAGCCTCGGCCTGCTGCACTCAGGTGATCCTTCTGCCTCAGCCTCTCAAGTAACTGGAACTACTGGCATGCACCACCATGTCTTTTTAAATTTATTGTAGAGATGAGGTCTTACCAAGTTGCCCAGGCTGGTCTCGAACCCGTGGGCTCAGGCAATCCTCTTACCTCAGCCTTCCAAAGTGCTGGGATTATAGACGTGAGCCACCATACCCGGTCAAAGAGGGTTTTTTATGTTTTGCTTTTAATAATGAAGGGGTGTTGGTGTTTTCTTTTTTCTGCATCAACTGATATGGGATTTAAGGTTTTTCTTCTTCCAACTTGTTGATATAGTAAATGACAGTCATTGATTTTCAAATTTAGCCAGACTTGCATACCTGGCGCAAACCCCTTTGGTCATGCTGTGTGTCATTGTCTTTAGACATTACTGGATTTGAATTGCTGATATTTTGTTGAAGATTTTTGTATCTAAGTTCATGAGCTATATTGGTCTTCGGTCTTTGTCTGATTCTGTATCAGGGTAAGACTGGCCTCATAAAGTAAGTTGGAAAGTGTTCTTTCCTAGTCTGTATTTTGGAAGAGATTGTGTAAAATTGGAATTCTCCTTTCAACATTTGGTGCCATTTTCTTTCTTTTTTTTTGTTTTTTTTTTGAGTTGGAGTCTCACTCTGTCGCCCAAGCTGGAGTGCAGTGGCTGCTCCC